TAAGTGGTAGAGTGTTTGCCTAGCATGTGTGAAGCACTGGATTCAATCCTCAGCACTACATGAGAATAAATAAATCAAATAAAGGTATTGTGTTCATCTACAGCTAAAGAAGTTTTTAAAAAAGATATTACAGTGTCCTTCAATAGACTTTGGCTTACTATTTATTACATACCAGATAAAATAAGCTAATGGTATGACAAGTTTTTGTAAATTCTTTCTGATTACAAAAGCAATATTAACCATAAATTGGGTAAATATAAGAAGTCATACAAATAAAAAATCCAAATAACATAGTTAAATCCTGACAGGGTTTAAGTCATGGTTTAAATGAGGAACAATCAATATACCAGTCTTTTCTCTTCTCTATACAAAATGAATTTATGTTTAAGGGGTCTTGTACTATGAAGGTGGAGAGCCTTGCTAAGTGTACCAATGGAGAAGACTGAATGAACTCATAGGAACCAAATAGCGATAGTAACCATATTACATATTTGGTGTCTATAGCTATGAAACTATTAAAGAAGGCAGCCAAAAGATTTCTTACACAAATAGCAAGCTTCCAGCAGAGCTGGTGTTAAGGCACGTTCTCTTGTCGGTGTGGATTATAATAGGGAATGGTACAGCATGCAATTTTAGACCTGGCCTGGAATAAATTGTCCTCCTCACAAAACATAAATAACAAAAGAAAAAACCCAGTGTCCCAAATAACCAACATTTTCATTTAATATGGCCTTTTCATTAACATTCATTTAAAATGTGAAACATGTTCTCATTGAAAAGAGAACTGGATTGAACATGATAATTTAAATAATTTGAATCAGTGTTCCTCTATTAAGGCTTTTGTAGCACTACCTATTGCTTCCTAAAAATATTTGCCAATTTATACTTTTTCATCAGCACTGTATAAGCATGTACTTGCTGGAGACAAGGCATTCCTTTTTGATTAATGTACTAGATAAAGAAATCTTCATTACATATTTGGTGTCTATAGCTATGACACTATTACAGAAGGCAGCCAAAAGATTTCTTACACTGGTTGAGAATCCAGATGAATAAATCCAGGCATTAAATATGATAGTGTCTTCCCCGTTCCTGTTTGTGCGACTCCAATAAGATCTATTCCTTGTAGAATTATTGGCCATGCCTGTGACTGAAAAAGAATAATAAACACTAAAAGAGCATATCTCTTCTTGTTATGTCTTTCTGTCTTCCTCCCAGCTCCACACTTCATTTAACAATTTTGAATGCAAGGCATTGGTGGTAGTGGTAGGAAGAACCAGAATGTTCATAAGAGATAATTGTTCTATGGTGATTTAATATATATCCAATATTGCTGAGGTAAAACATTCAGTGAAACACTAGAATTAAGGAAAGCATACTTGAATTGGAGTTGGCTTCTGGAAACCTGCCCTTTTAATGTTTTCCATAACTTCAGGGTAACATTGAAAGGCATCTTCAAATTTACAGGTAGGATTGGGGATAGGGCGCTTCGCACCATCTTTCAAGTCATCACATGTTATATTAAAATTTTCCTTCCTTTACAGGAAAAATAAAAACAAATGAGGATTAGTGGCTTAGGTCACTTTACTCACAAGAAAGAAATTTCAAAAAAAAAAAAGTTTTACTTTGAAATTCAACTGTAAATGATTAAAATCAGACTACCATAAAATTTAGAGTGAAATATACTAAGAAATAGAAACAGAAGCCCATCTTCCTCCTATCTGAGGATAGTTTCAGAAGAAAGGCGATAATCACTATTATGAGTGGACCCATAAATTTCATGTGCAAAATTATAAATAGAACCTGAAAATCATGTTTCATAATTCAAAACCAGAATGGGAAAACATTTGAGGGACTGTGATGTTCCATATTTTCTTTTTTTTGCTGAGGATCGAACCCGGGCCACACGCATGCCAGGCGAGCGCTCTACCGCCTGAGCCACATCCCCAGCCCTATTTTTTAGTTTTCAGCAGACACAACATCTTTATTTGTATGTGGTGCTGAGAATCCAACCCGGGCCGCATGCATGCCAGGCGAGTGCGCTACCGCTTGAGCCACATCCCCAGCCCCCCATATTTTCTTAATTTAA